CCAGCCACTCCTGTATCAAACCGAAGGCTGAGCTAAGGAAGACCTCAAAGCATGGTTTAATCATTTCAAGGTGCAGAGAATCTTCAAACAAGTGACCTGTGCCCCACGCTGCAGAGGAAGGCAAAAAAACCCCAGGGCCTCTGCCAATCTGCCCTGGAGGAAAATTCCTTCCTGATCCCAAATATGGCGATCAGCTAAACCCTGAGCATGTTGGCAAGACTCACCATCCAGACACCCAGGAAAGAATTCTCTGTAGTAACTCAGATCCCACCCCATCTAACATCCCATCGCAGGCCATTGGGCATATTTACCGCTAATAGTCAAAGACCAATTAATTGCCAAAATTAGGCTATCCCATTATACCATCCCCTCCATAAACTTATCAAGCTTAGTCTTGAAGCCAGATATGTCTTTTGCCCCCACTGCTGCCCTTGGAAGGCTGTTCCAGAACCTCACTCCTCTGGTGGTTAGAAACCTTTGTCTAATTTCAAGTCTAAACTTCCTGATGGCCAGTTTATATCCATTTGTTCTGGTGTCCACATTGGTAGTGAGCTTAAATAATTCCGCTCCCTCCCTGGTATTTACTCCCTCTGATATATTTATAGAGAGCAATCGTATCCTCCCCTCAGCCTTCTTTTTTTTTTTTTTAAACAAGCCGAGCCCTTTGAGTCTCCTTTCATAAGACAGGTTTTCCATTCCTTCTTAAACATGGGAGACCAGAACTGCACACAGTATTCCAGATGAGGTCTCACCAGTGCCTTGTATAACGGTACTAACACCTCCTTATCTCTACTGGAAATATCTCGCCTGATGCATCCCAAAACCGCATTAGCTTTTTTCACGGCCATATCATATTGGTGGCTCATAGTCATCCTGTGATCAACCAATACTCCGAGGTCATCCTCCTTCCTGTTACTTCCAACTGATGCGTCCCCAGTTTATAACAGTAATTCTTGTTAATCCCTAAATGCATGACCTTGCACTTTTCATTACTAAATTTCATCCTATTACTCCAGTTTACAAGGTCATCCAGATCTTCCTGTATGATATCCCGGTCCTTCTCTGTATTGGCAATACTTCCTAGCTTTGTGTCATCCACAAACTTTATTAGCACATTCCCACTTTTTGTGCCAAGGTAAGTAATAAAAATATTAAATAAGATTGGTCCCAAAACCGATCTCTGAGGAACAGCATTAGTAACCTCCCTCCAGCCTGACAGTTCACCTTTTCAGTACGACCTATTGTAGTCTCCCCTTTAACCAGTTCCTTATCAACCTTTCAGTTTTCATATTGATCCCCATCTTTTCCAGTTTAGCTAAGAATTCCCCATGTGGAACCCGTATCAAATGCCTTACTGAAATCGAGGTAAATTAGATCCACTGTTTCCTTTGTCTAGAAAATCTGTTACTTTCTCAAAGAAGGAGATCAGGTTGCTTTGGCACGATCTACCTTTTGTAAACCCATGTTGTATTTTGTCCCAATTACCACGGACCTCAATGTTCTTAACTACTTTCTCCTTCAAATTTTTTTTCCAAGACCTTGCATACTACACATGTCAAACTAACAGGCCTGTAGTTGCCCGGATCACTTTTTTTCCCTTTCTTAAAGATAAGAACTATGTTCGCAATTTTCCCATACAACCCCTGAGTTTACAGATTCATTAAAACTTCTTGCTAATGGGCTTTCAATTTCATGTGCCAGTTCCTTTAATATTATTGGATGAAGATTATCTAGGCCCCCTGATTTAGTCCCATTAAGGTGTTCGAATTTGGCTTCTACCTCGGATGTGGTAATATCTACCTCCATGTCCTCATTCCCATTGTCATCCTACCATTATCCCTAAGCTCCTCATTAGCCTCATTAAAGACTGAGGCAAAGTATTTGTTTAGATATTGGGCCATGCCTAGATTATCCAACCTCCACTCCATCCTCAATGTTTAGCGGTCCCACTTCTTCTTCCTTTGTTTTCCTCTTATTTATATGGCTATAGAACCTTTTACTATTGGTTTTAATTCCCTTTGCAAGGTCCAACTCTACACGGCTTTTGGCCCTTCTCACTTTATCCCTACATGTTCTGATCTCAATAAGGTAGCCTTCCTTGCTGATCACTCGCATCTTCCACTCCTTGTAGGCTTTCTGCTTTTTCCTAATCACCTCTCTGAGATGCTTGCTCATCCAGCTTGGTCAACTCCTGCCTTTGAATTTTTTTCCCTTTATTGGGATTGCAGTTTCTGCAACTTTGACTTGAAGTAATTCCAGGCCTCCTCCACCTTTAGATCCACAATTTCTTCAGTCCAATCCACTTCCCTAACTAATTTCCTTAATTTTTTTAAAGTTTGCCCTTTTGAAATCAAAAACCCTAGTCACAGATCTATTTTTGTTTATCCTTCCATTTAGTTTAAATTGAATTAGCTCATGATCGCTCAAACCAAAGTTGTCCCCTATAACCATTTCTTCTATGATGTCCTCACTACTCACCAAAACCAAATCTAAAATGGCATCCCCTCTTGCTGGTTCAGCAACTACTTGGTGAAGGAATCCATCAGCTATTGCATCTAGGAAAATCTGAGCCCTATGATTATTACTAGCACTTGTCCTCCAGTCTATATCTGGGAAGTTAGTCTCCCATGATCACACAATTCCCATTAGTATTTACTTCATTAAAAACATTAGAGGTTTCTATCCAGATCAGATCCCGGTGGTCTATAGCACACCCCAAGCACTGTCTCAGGTGAGGCTCTAGTAGCTTTCTTCCCCAATGTGATTTTTGCTCTGACAGACTCTGTCTTATCAATTCCATCCCTTCTTATTTCTTTACAGTCTACCTCATCATTGATAGACAATGCTACTCCACCACCTTTGCCTTTATTTCTGTCTTTCCTAAACAGCACGTACTCCAGTCATGACTACTATTCCACCATGTTTCATTTATCCCTATAATATCCGGTTTCACTTCCTGCATCAGTAACTCTAGATGCTTTGTAGCTGAGGCTTGACTTTGCAAAAGGATTATCTCACACTATTATAGCTGAGGCTTGACTTACAAGATTTGGGTTCAGTTCCCAGCTCTACTGCAGACTGCCTGCATAACCTTGGGCAGATAATTTAAACTCTCTGTGTCTCAGTTCTCCATCTGCTCTATCTATGTGCTGTCTTTCATATTATCCTTAGAATGTAAGGTTTTTGGGGGGAATGGACCATCTCTATTATATTTTTGTACAGTGCCCAACATAATGGGGCTGTGGTCTCTAGGTACTACCACAATACAAATAATTAACAATCAATATAAAAATCCAAGTACTGGGGGGTTTGCCCTTACCAAAGTACTGATCTACAAGATTCAATATCATACAGAACCTACTTAGAGGAGTAATAATACTAATAAACTTGTAGCATGATCTGAAACCAGGTGTAGCAATCTCATATCCCCATCACCTACTTCAAATTACAATAATTCAGAGTATCTTAATTTAGCAGCAACTGCTATACTCTTTGAATGTGAGAACATTTTCAGGTGTAAAGGAGATCTCAAGTACATTTATTCCTCTAGAAAATATAGGTGTGATCTGAGCATCAAACTGGGAACAAGGAACTCCTGACTGCTAATCCTTCAGTGGCCTTGGCCATGTCACTTAATCAATTTCCCTTTTTCATATAATACTAACCTCCTTCTTGAGGATTTGGTAGTTACAGTGCTACATAAGCGTATTATTGTTAATTATCCAAGAAGACTGTTTCATAGTAAATTAAAGTGATATGTGACATTTAATTGTGTGTTGTTGTGTTTAGATAGGATACTGGAGTGAATCCTACTAGCTTTTCTCATATAAGCCATCTTACAGCAGTCAATGGGAATCACTCACATGTGGAAAGTGAATAGAATTTGTCCTGATAATTAGGGCTGTGGTCCGAAACCTAATAATTATGATCAAACTGAGTCAATACAATTAAATGGCTGAAACCTTTTTGTGACCCCATCCTGGGTGCCTCAACACCCAGCTGGAGAACTCCTATTCTAGAGACCATCAAGCTGTAGAGCTCTGCAAAGCTTGTAAGCTTCTCTTCCACCAACAGAAGTTGGTCTATTAAATTATATTACTTCACCCACCTTGTGTCTCCCATATTCTGGGCCCAACATGGCTACTACAACATTGCAAAAAAAAGTTTCAGTAATACAATATTGCAAGAAAACATTCCCAGGTCCTAAAATTATACCAAGTCTCTTAACTGTATATATGACAGAAAAATTGCTGCTCTTTATATTGTGAGTACTTTGCAATTTTTGAATTCATCTTCAAGATTTATTTAATTTCTTTTTTAGGTAAATCTTGGAAGCAACCAGTATCTCTTCTCAGCAGTGGTGGATCCCAAAGAAATGCCTTGCTTCTGTTTACGGCATGATATTGATGCTCTTCTCTGGCAGCCACGCTCTGACCAACCGGACAATATGTGGGAGCACATTGCAACTTTCAATGCTTTAGGTATGGAATGAACTGCTCAGTGGCGTGTCTCTTTCTAACAAATGTTACTCAAGGTTTTGCCATCTCATTTCCATTAGATCTCTGTTTTGTTCATGAGTTACTCTAATTAAATTTTGATTGATTAGTGCATTAATTCTGTTGATAAGAGAATGTTGGATTAATTTTAGAAATACTAGAACAGAAGGTATAGGTAATGTTTGTGCCTTGACAGAAGATCAGCTTAGAAGTTAAAAAGGTTATCTAATCACAAGAGCGTTGAGGTCAATGCATCATTCTTCATAACTAAATGTTTATAAATATGTGAACAAGAGATTTAAGAATACTTGACAAAATATCGGGGAGAAGAGATGTGCCTTAAATGTCAACAGACTTGGGCTATTTCAGATCATGGAGGGGAGCTCAACGGTCAGAGGAAGCTCCCTTTTCTAATGAGGGGTTTCAGCTTGAGTACCATTGCCGACCTCAGCTGTGGTTATATGGCCCAGGAAAAGAGGTAGTCTTTTGGGTAAGTAGGCCCCAGGCAATTTCAAGCTTTTTAGCTCACAACCAGCATCTTAAAGTCTACCAGAAACCAGCAGGCATCTAGTGCAGGGCATAGAGTACAGGTGTAATGTGTTCATGGCAAGGTACATTTTTAATAAGTGGTCTTCAGAGTCTGGTGACTCTTTTTAAGTTCAAGGTGACAGGCCAAGTAGCCTCACATTCACATTTTGTATTATTTTTCAGTTTTTCACATTTAAAATGAAGGCTCGTCTTAGTAATGATTGTGTAATTTTCTTTTAAATAATTAACCTTGGCAGCAAGGAGACTGATAATGTTCATCTTTTACACCTTGGCTATTTTTATCTAGCTGCTGGTCTGTAGACATCATGGTCATAGAGTTCAAGGCCATAAGGTACCACCAGGTCATCTAGCCTAACCTGTGTTTCATGGGCCATCAAGACCACCCACTGCTGAAATTAGGCCAAAGTATTACAGCCCACAGGAGACTAGACATATTATGTGCCACAGGCAGAAAATAGGAAGGAACAAGGTGCACAAGTGCACAAGACCCCACATAGCAGGGGTTAAGTGAGATATACTCTGATAATCCTGGCAAGTGACCTGCACTCCAGGCTCCAGAGGAAGTCAAAACCCCTCCCTAAGGTGACCGCCAATCTACCCTGGGGTAGAATTGCTTCCCGAACCCACATGTGGCAATCAGTTAGGCCTTCATCATGTGAGCAAGAATCCCAGCGAACCAAGCATCTGCTTGGTGCCACCTTAGAGCTTTGGCCCTCCCCATCCTAGGTCCCATCTCCATCCTTAGCCAATCCTGATGCATCACAGAGAGACTTAAAAAAAATCTCAGGATACACTGGGAGAGAGAAACATCCCATCTTTACCCCTGCAGATGGCCAGCTGAAACATGCGCTCTTAGGAACATAAGACATAAATCAGAAGCGAGCCCCAGGGCTCCTGAACGTAGGCTACCCCCGTACCATTACAAACAATCCCATCACACAGTTGCACTAATAAATTTGTCTAGTTCTCTCTCTTAAAACTAATTACGTTGTTTGCCCCCACAACTCCTATTAGAAGACTATTCCAGAACCTCACTCCTCTGGTGGTTAGCAACCTTCTTCTGTTTCCAGCTTGAATGTGTTCATAACCAGTTTATATCCGTTTGCTCTTATGCCAGTATTGTCCTTTAGTTTATTAACCAGTTATTAATAAAATATCTCTTCTTTTATTTCAGCCTTTTGAATCTGGTTTCTATTTCTGAATTTAAGGGTTGTAGCTCTGAGATCTGTATATCTTATTTCCATCAAAATCAGTCAAGCACAAGATTTCACATACACTGTGATAACTATAAGGTCCTTCCACGTGGTCTCTGGATCTTATTTTCTGCCGGAGCCACAGTAAAAACTCCTAAACTGTTGTCCCAGTGCCTCCAGTTAGAGGCAGACATAACTGTTGTTGCATGCTTGCAAGTTTATGAATCCCATAGATTTCCAGGACTTGCAGCTAGGAAAAAATGAATAACTGCCTGACTAGGGTATTGATATTCTAGTAGAATGCAACAGGCCACAGAACACTGCTCTATCAGATGAAATAGGAGAGCAGAAGAGACTAGATCTCAGTCAGGGCTGGCTCCAGCATTTCTGCCGCCCCAAGCAAAAAAAAAAAAAAGGCCGCGATCGGAGGCGGCAGTTCACTGGCAGGTCCTTCGCTCCTAAAGGGAGTGAGAGACCTGCCACCCCCGAATTGCCGCAGGTGCCGCCCCTCTCCTTTGGCCGCCCCAAGCACCTGCTTGTTAAGCTGGTGCCTGGACCCGGCCCTGATCTCAGTCCAATAAACACTGGTCATTGGTACAAGCCCACATTAAATCAGTGAGAGAAGCTAAGAAATCCTTCACTTGCATTATAACTTCAGCAAAGTCTGAGAACACACTTGTTCTGGATAGTGGCTTACCTAATCAAACCAGACTGTGTTTGTGGTCTACTTCGGGATTTGAACTCCCATACCTGATTTTCTTTTTCTTTTTGTATTTGTTGTTTTATTTTGTACTGGAACTATCTTATTATCAGCCTCTTGCCTTGATCTAATGTCAATTAGGCTTCAAGTACCTTTAAAATCTGCTATCGTTTCTCAGTCTTTGTATATTTGTCATCATTTTTGTATGCAAACTGGTTTTATAATGCTTTAAAAAAAAAAAAAGACGGGCAAATCTTTTTCCAAACTAGTAGTAATAAATTTTAAGCATCTTAAAATTAATCATTAATACTGTTTTAAGACTTTAGGTGCACCAATATTTCTATAATTTTGGAAATAAATGGAGGAAAGTTTTCTGTGCTTGAGGGGGTAAAAACATCATTGTTCCTCCACATTTTCCTCCTTACTGTACTATCATTTACAGTACCATGTTGAAGTTTACACTTCTGTGCTAATCTAGTTTATCTTTTATTTGCCAGAAAAGGCATGCGTCACCACCTTGTTTATCTACAACCAAACATTAGAAATATCACACTAGAGCCAGTCAGAGGTAGTAAGTGAGCATCTTGTGGGGTATAAAAGGTAGTTTTAAAGAATCCACAGTACTCATTTTATTTACTAACACAATGCCTGTAGTCCTGTTCTCTTTTTTTCCCTATTTTCATTGCTGGTCTAAAATCAGTCCCACAGTACATAGAGAATGATTGGAGAATTGTGATCATTTGGGGGCCAAATCCTCCTCTTTGTGCGAAGTAGAGCCAAAAGAACAAGGTCTTCACTCCCTTTCCTTGCAGTAGTCACCATTGTATGTGTGTGAGAGATGAGGTAAAGATTTTCCATGTCCTGCATCCCTAATAATGCACACATTTTTAAGTGAGGGTGATTAAACATTGGCGCAAACTACCAAGGGAAGCGGTGGATTCTCCATCTCTGGATGCCTTTCTGGAAATTTAAGCCAAACACAATTTATTGGTCTCAATACAGGGGTAATTGGGTGAAATGTAATGGCTTGTGATATGCAGTAGGTCAAACTAGATGATCTAATGGTTCCTTCTGGCTTTGAGCTCTATGAATCTGTGAAGGAAAAGTTGGTTTTTGAGGGTCACCTCTCCCCCACTTACAAGTAACTCTACAGAGGTTTTATTCCCCTCTCATTACTGCAGCTGGTTGGAAGGATGGGAGTGTTTGATCTTGCCCCTTCTAAATCCCTGGCTGACTTGAAGGCCTCTCTTCCTTCTCTCCTGGCTGCTCAGCAGTCTGTATTCTGCTACCAGCTCTCTGTTGCTGCCATGGCTATGTCTAGACTAGGAAAATAAGGCATTTTAAAATTGTTAATTAAAACACGTTCATTTACTTTTAAGCCGCAATGTAAACAGGCCAAGACGTATTTCAACATATCATATGGTAGTGATTGGCTTTAGACTCCCTCACCCCCAGGATTGTTTATAAACCCGACATGACTTGTCTACACTAGGATTTTAAAAATGTGAATTAAATGTATTAGCTAACACTCTCTATATAAAATCTTTTCCTGGGCTGGGCTAGACTACCTCTTAGAGCATTCTTGGGTCCTTATCTGTGCCATGGGCTGTCTAGCTTAGTAGTAACAAGTTATTTCCAGATAAAACTGTGTTCAACTGGAGTTAAGGTTGAGCAAATATCAGTAATTTAATACAGACATTGCAGGAATGTTGTATTTATTCCAAAAACAAGCATTTACAAACCCAGGAAGTTTAGAGTTAGGGTTACACATAAAATAAATCTAAACATGTTAAGGTATGGACAGCTAAGGTACCCAAACAACCTAAATTCGGCCTAAATTCCCCATTGACACCTATGGGGAACAGGAAGAAATGTCTCTGCTACTAACAGCGATGTCTTTTTCAAAATGGCCACATAGTTTTCAATAAGAGTGAAGCCAAACTACCCTTGGAAGATGGTAGCCCATTTTGCTAAGATCGGCCCTATAGCCTCACCCCCATTCGAAACAATATTGGATGGCAATCAGTTTGAAAGAGGACAGTTGTCTAATGTTGTTCAGTGATGGAAAATATTTATTCTTCAGCCCCTGATGTAGCCTATTCATGATAATTCAGTGAGTTGTAACTCTATGAGGAATTTGATGGATCTGTGTTTTACTGTTAGGATGTGTTGGGACAAAAACAATGTGTCACAGGGTGCTACATTTCTTAAAGAACCGACTTAATTTAACTCATGATTTTGAAGAATAAAAATTCTTCAAATGTAGCCTATAGATAATATTTCAGTGAGTATTTGGTATTCCAAGAGTAAGTGCTGTACGTTTTTGAAGAATACAGTGTGTGGTGTTTAGAGTTTTGCTAATAGCTGTTTTGTTCTCGCTTCTTTGGAAAGGGGTACCAGGCCTCATAGTTCTCACTGAAGAAGTATGTTCTGAGGAGGACACAGTGGAAGAATGTCTGTCAAGAAGGGGTCTTCAGGCATAGAGAGGGGCATGCATAGAGGTGTCAGAGATAAGTGTTAAGAGGACAAAGGGAGCCATTAGTACTAAATTGTCCCTTACGTGTATTTTTATCTTTTTGTGACCTTTTGTGTATTAGTTTTATAATATAAGCACAGGATTCTGAAATGGCAGTATAAAGCACAGTTGAAATATATATTAACTTTCTTTCTTGCCTCTGTATATCTGTATGCTTTGCAGGTTATGTCCAAGCATCAAAGGAAGACAAGAAATTCACCGCTTGTCCTCCAAATTATTCCTATGCTGCTATTTGTGAGTGCCTGCGTCGAGTGTTCATCTATCGACAGCCCACTCCTCTGTCCACTGTTCTCTACAACAGGAAGGAGGGAAGACAAGTAGGGCAGGTTGCTAAGCAGCTGATAGCAACCCTGGAAGCCAGTGATCCTATCTTGGGCTTTCAAGCTACAAATGAGAGATTATTTGTTCTCACAACAAAATCCTTGTTTTTAATAAAGGTAAACACTGAAAATTAATTATCCAATATGTCATGTTGACTTGGATGTATTCACAATTGGTCTGAGAAATGATGAGATATTAGCTAAAAAGTTCAATCACATACTACTGAAGTTGAAGTAAAATATCATATGTAGCCTGTTTAATTTTTAAAAGGACAACCAAAATATGTTCACTGGAACTTGTCTCTGTGCCCAGTTGGATAAAGCTTTTCAACTCCATTGTCACTGAATTTTTGTGGGAACTTCCAATTCTATGGAAAAGTGCAAGAAAACTGTCTGTGCTAGCAGCATTTTAATCAGTTACCAGAGTCGTGTGTGAAATGATCCATCCATACATTGCTTTTTTCATATAGTTTTTTTACCACACTTCTGCCATTCAAGAAGATCTTGAGTATTCACTTATTTCTATTTTGTATAATTGCCACAGTCTCTCTGTGGGTATTATTCAGATGTAATAAAACAAAGCCTTGTTTTATTACAAGTTTATATAAACGGGAGGCAAAGATCACACTTTATACAAATAGATATTTTACAGAGCCATTTAAATTATTTTTGAAAATTTTAGTCTCAGTTTATGTTTAAATGTCTTTACTTAGTATTAGCAAATCATGGCTCATTGGCTAAATGATGGCGTGTTGGGGCATCTGCTTTTCTCAGGCATATTTTTTATTCAGGTCAAATAACCGTATTATATACATGCAGTTGTAGTAATCTGATTGAGACACACTTGTGCTTCCCATTAAATCTTCAAACATTTTAAAAACTAAAATGGTTTTGGTAGCTTTCTCTTGGGGACAGAGGAAGAGAGAAGAAAACATTTGTCTGTGGATGAAATTTAAAATGGCACAGGTTGAAGTACTGTTGAGATTCCAAGTTTGTACATCAGTTACTTCCACATGAAATCTGATCCTTTACCACTAAATCATGGGCATATTACTTGACAGTCAAACTTAACCTGAGATACTAAACTCAAGCTGTGCTGCTTCTGCCTTATACGTCGTCACCATGAATATAGATTCTGCGATTAGGGTTTAATTAACCATTATCCCCTCATATTCTTATAACTATACTGGATATGCTCAGCTTACAGGAGTAAGGTTTAAGAAAGAGGTGCCGGTTTTACCTAGTGGCCTTGCTGACCATAACAATGTAAGGTTCTGTTTAACAAATATATATATATTTGTCAAAAGTTCGATCTACAGAATTTTTTAACATCTTTAAAGAGACATTGCCAACATGGTGAAGATGAAAAACTGGTTGGTCTTGAACTCCTCCCTGTTTTAGATTTTTGCTTAAGATTCCTAAGCAAAGTATCTCTTTCAGCTGATATCTTTCATGAAGTTTAAAAGTAACGTAAAAAACATGTGACTTCTATAAACTGAACAGTGAATTTGTGTTATGTCGTCCTCCATGTTGTTGCATATCTTTTTCTACATTATTTCAGATTATAGCAAATATTAGAAGGAAATGTCTCCGCTTGGGAGGACATAACAGAGACGCTTCTAGGCATGACCATCTTGATTGTACCCAGGAGCTCATGAAAGTTTTGATTTGCAGACCCATGTCAGTGAAATGAGAATGAATAAAATGGTAAATTCTTAAAAAGCAGAGGTGTGATCACAGAGTGCAAGTCTGCTCTTCTGATGAGGATTTAAGGGATCTGATTCTCATCTTGCTTACGTCCGTTTTACACCACTGTACATCTATTAATTTCAGGAGTTACTCTTTCCAATGGAAAAGAGAACACAATTGGGCCCAACCTCCATAATATCTCTTTACTTTTACTATCTATAAAACAGAAAAAAATCTTTAATATTCTGTTATCTAGAATATGTAGTTTCATGTGTGTCCTACTTCTGAATTTTCACTGAGTAAATAAGCAATGTCAAAAACAATATGGTATTATTATAATCTTTTTTAGACTGCTTTGCTTTATACTAACTCCAAGTGCATGCGGCAAAGAATAGTTGGAGTCGTTTCTTCTCAGCCTAAGTGAAATTGAGATTTGTACACATCTGAGTTCAGATCTCCCAAAACATAACCAGCTGGAATACATCATGCAGAAAGAGTCAGCTCATATGGGGGGAAATGTATCAGTCATATCAACTGTGAAACTGGATTTCTTCAATGGAGGGAAGCTCCAGGATAAACTAATAATAATTCAACTATTTCATATAAAATTACACTTACTAAGACTTAGATAGCTAAAAGCTAATTTCTATTATCTTCTGGACAAATTAAGCAAAGCCAAGTACAATTGTCACCTTCATAGCCCTAGTTATAACAAATAGTAAGGGAAAGGATGCTGCTAGAATGTTCTGAGCTTCAAACAAGGTCACATTTACTCAGCAGCAAAACTGATTAAAGTGGAAAAAGTGTTCCTCCTTTTTCTGAATACTCTGCTCACTTGTTAACAATGGGAATGGACCCTGAAATGTATTCTGCTCAAAAAACTTGCATAGAATAATATGTTTCCATGTCCTTCTAAAGAGTTAAGAGTATTGTTTATTATTTAAAACCCATCAATTGCCTTGATGAGCCATACATGCTGATATAAATCAACCTACTTTTCTGCTAAAAAAAAAAAAAATCCATAATTAAATTGTTGGCAGTTGCAGAGCCATATTTGTTACTTTCGCATTCCCATTTTACATTCATTTTCTTTCGAGGCTTATATCTGTCATATGCTACCACAGACTCAGATATAGTAGAATGTGATTATTCAAAATGTATGGGGTGTGGTCACCTGATTTTGTGCGAGGTTTTTGTTTTGGCTGAGAATCTGCACCTACCATGGAGCTCTCATTTTGTACAGCTCTTTATGAATGCCCCATCCTGCAAGCAAATGTGGTGGATGCTATTTACAAAATGTCGGTTGTTATAGGTGCAAATAATCCATTTCAAATACTTTTTTTGTAATGTTCCCTCTGCCTGGATGTGTATAACTGAAATATGTATTACTCTGCAAGTTAAAAATAATTAAAATGTTAAATTCATAAATAAAACTTTTTAAAAAAAATGTTTAAAATGACTTTTTATCCCTTCAGTTTATCATTTCAAATGTGCACCTTTTCTTTTGTTAAAACCTTTCCTAATTTTTTTCTGAAGGTTATAATACACAAATACCAAAGAATATTCAATACCTGGGCCAAATTCTGGCTGATGTTTGCACTGCAGCATAATGACTTCTGCCAAAAGCAGTGGTACTGTGCTCACAGATCCTTGTTATGATAATCCTTACATGCACTTTCCCATGGATAGCCTCTTTCTGGAAGCAATAGGAATAATTTGCAAGGGGGTCAAGCTCAATTTGCGATCATTGTATAGTCAGGGAGTCAAATATTCATATGCCCCTAAACATGCACATTGCATCCTCTCACCCTTTGGCTGTGTCTTGTTGCATCTCTGTGCATATAAGTCACAGAGGATCTGCAGAGCAGTTCCTCACTTTTTCCCAGAGGAAGAACTGGAGTGGTCAGCCTTGTTCCACTGCATAGTGCTGCTGGCTGGTTTTTTATTTTCTGACTTGCATGTATGCACTGTGCCAGCCAGAGTCTGGATCTAGGTTTGTGAAACGACAAATGCAACGAGATTAGTAGTTGAGGCTGAAACTCTTTTTTGACTTCTACTTCTGCGGCTGGTTTGAATAATGGACATTATTACACCTATAACTTTGAATTTTTCTGGCTTTTGTCAGTTTGTGTCTTGCTCTTCACATTATGCAGATCTAATGTTGTATTGGGTGGAAATAAAGGCTGCAGTCGATTGTGCGTTAGTATATATTAACATTTATATACAAATGGTTGTTTTCTGGTTCCATCATAGAAGTAGATTTTGAATAGCTTTTTGAGTAAAACTGAATCTTTATTATCCCAAATTCTAAGATGTAGAGAACCAGTGCAGATTGCCTCACTTACTAGCCATATTAATGTGATTACAATGGCATTAGTCCAACTCCTCCTTAGTTCTCGACTCAGGTCTCTTATCTTACTTCTGTGGGAGATCTAATTGCTATGATAAATGTAGGCATAAACATTTACACATAGACTAGCATTTTTATTTTTATTGTTATACTGTGGCCCAACTATAGTTTGCCATTCATTTTTTCAGTAACACTAATGGCACTCCAACCTGTTAAATAGAGTAGATATGCACAGTTACATTCAAATGAGAATGTTGGGGTCTGATTTTTTTCAATGCAGCCTTATTTTGGAATTATGTACATTGGGGAGTACAAATACCTACATCTGTGCTTTTCAAACATTAATAACTGCACTTTAGACAAATGGGATTTGGGTGTGTGCAAACTGTTTAGTTTCTGCGAGGATTAGTGTTTTAGAAGTATGTGCAGGTGTTTGCAACTGGTAACTACTTTCTGAAACCTGTTTGTATGTATGTATTTGTATATAAAAACTATATACCTTGTATGTGCAAGCAGTAGAAAAGGTCAAATTCTGAATGTATATTTAACATGAAAAATCAAAGAACTGGGTATAAACAAAGCTTTTTCCAGTTATGTCATGTTTTGTTTAATATTTCAAAATCAAAGCTATTCTGATTAATGATTTATTTGATGGGGAGTCTTTTAATTGATTTAAACAATTTCAAAACAATCTGACTCTCTTTGCAAATATTGAATATCTTTATTAATGTGATATCTTTCATAATGAGGTGAGAAATGTGATCAGTGAGAGTTGCAGTTGAGACCTGGAAAAGACATTTTCTAATCTTTACTGGTGTAATGTTATAGGTAAAATAAAATGTATAAGCCGTTTAAACAGATGGTAAAAGAATGTTGAAACGAACACTTCTGGGGAATGATCAAGAACAATACAAAATACACTCTTAATGTAGCAAAATAAGTAATTGTACAGTGTGTAATCTTTGCTACACAAAGTATACATTACCATGCATAGTTTATCATCATATAAAAGAAGCTCTCTATATTGTCCATACGCCATTCACTCCCGTTGGTGCTCTTACATGCATTCTGGACATGTCTCCAATTGGAGAGGTATTCATAAGCTGTAAGACACACAATTTATTACATATAGAAATTTCATCTTGACGTTAATTGTGCTTGTTATGGACTGTGAACGATGTCACAAAGAGATCTCTTCATTTAACATTGCTGATGGCAAAGTATCAAATCCCCATTAACTGGAAACCTCTCCAAGCATTCAGGGACTGCTGATGTATCTAAAGGACTTTGAAGCACTGGAGAATACGTGTTTAAAGAGCCAACAGTCTGCCCAACTTTGAGTGAAAAACTTTCATTGAGTGCAAAAATCTGGACTTGGACCTAGAAATAAGTACCTGGATGTGAGAAAGACTTGAGATTGTTAGCTCAGTGTCCACTACGAATGTACTTTTTACTGCTTTGGTTTCCAGTTCTTTTTCCTTTTACCTGTTTCTACCAATATTCCTGCCCTCATGGTTATCATTTCTAGTCCTTCATCGAAATGAAAAAATCTTTGTAACCTTTAAAATTCATTTTTACAAAATTGTAAATGTGCTTGTGTAATTTTAGTGAAGTGGGAGGAGGTGCATTGTAATGCCAGTCATGACACCTGACTGGATAGAAAACATCACCTATGGACAGGGCCGGCTCTGGCTTTTTTGCCGCCCCAGGCAAAAAAGCCTCCCGGCCCCCCGGCGGGGATCGCAGCAGGGGAGGGCGGAGTGCCGGGGGAGGGCGGCTCCACTCTCCCCAGCCGGCCGGAGAGCCGGGAGGAGGGCGGAGAGCCCGGCTGCGGCCCCGCTCTCCCTGGCCGGCTGGAGCGCCGCCCTCCTCCAGGTGCCGCCCCAAGCACATGCTTGGTAGGCTGGTGCCTGGAGCCTGCCCTGCCTATGGAAGTTTTTCAGCTATAGAAAACTGTCTGCACTTATTAGGTATAGTATCTTTGGGCACTATGCTGATTACAAGTAATGTAGCCTCTGAGGTTCGTAGGCCCAAAAGGCCATGTATGATACGTAGACTTTGTCTCAACCATTGAGTAGACACGGTGGAGTAAAACAAAGGCTAAGAAAATAGTAAACATTTATCTTTGGTAGAAAACTAAGCTGTTTTGATTGGGAAACGGAGAAGATCTGTTCAAGTACCAGTTGACCCTTGTGGTCCCTTCTAACACAATGATTCTATGTTTGCCCTTCTCCAGTCATCTAGTCTAACTCTCTGCCAAGATGCAGGATTTGTTGTGTCTAAACCTCCAAGACACATGGCTATCCAGTCTCCTTTTGAAAATCTCCCGGGAAGGTGCTTCCACAACCTCTCTAGGCAGTCTTTTCATTGTCCTACTGTGCTTACAGTTAAGCTTTTCCTGAGATTTAATCTAGGGCTGTCAATTAATCGCCGTTAACTCACGCTATTAATTCAAAAAAATTAATTGTGATTAATTGCCCTGTTAAACAATAGAATACCAATAGAAATTTATTAAATATTTTTGGATGTTTTCTACATTTTCAAATAGATTGATTTCAATTACAACACAATTTTTAAACAATTGTTTAACAGGACGATTAATCGCGGTTAATTTTTTTAATCGCTTGACAGTCCTAATTTAATCTAAATCTGCTATGCTGTAATTTGAACCCAATGCCTCTTGTCCTGCCCTCTGATAAAAGAGAACAACTTTTCTCCATCTTTTTTTGTGGCAGCCTTACAAGTATTTGAAGACCATTATCGTGCCCCGTTCCTCAATCTCCTCTTTTCCAAACTAAACATACCCAGTTCCTTCAGACTCTGCTCATATGGCTTGCATTCCATCCCTTTGATCATCTTTGTAGAATGTAGAAAAGTGAACAAAATGATGAATTTTAAAATATATATTCATGTAGACAAACGCTGAATGCGTTGTGACAAGTCATGTGATGCAATGAATATGGATACAGTATAAGAGATTCTACCAGACTTACATTAGTCCCATTGCTTTCAGTATGACTGTTTGTAAAGTTAAGGTGCAACACAGAGGAAGTGACAGACTCCAGCCTGAAATATTTATTCTTGTCTACAGATAAACACCACCTAAAGGAAAATGCAACAAAAAGGTTTGCAGAGGATAAGATTTAACAAAGTATTAGAGAAAGGTTGCAAAAGTACTAAAGGACTGTAGTTTTTAAAAAATGGCTGCCATTTTTATAGGTGAAAAGTCTAGACCAGGGGTTCTCAAACTGGGGGGTGGCGACCCCTCATGGAGGGTTCTGAGGTTATTACGTGCAGGTTGTGAGTACATGCACAAAACTCAGAGCAAGTACTATTTAAAATATATAATCCTAACATTTTTGGAAAATTACACATACCTTTCTGTCACAATGTAGGGTATTTACTTCAAAAAGTATTGTAAATGTATAATGCAGTGATTGTTGTTCCTAAACAAAACATATATTTGTTTTATCACCTTTTTAAGGAAATTGGACTCTGGGGATTGTAGTATCATGTGCACAGGTTTGTTGTCTTTAGATTAAAAAGGTGGAACTGAGACAACATTAGAAGGCTTGATTGTTCAGCAGCTGAAGGAGCATTAAATCTCAGGCCAATCAGAACACTGAGATCAGCACACACAAAAATGATAATTTAACAGTCAGACACACAGGCAGGGGCAGTGCTAGCAGAACGTTGGGGGGGGGGGGCTATAGCCACCCCCAAAATTTGCCATAGCCACTACTCCCTGCACAAAGGTCAAATCTTGCACACAACTTCTGAAATTCTGCACTGCTGCTGGTGGCAGTGCTGCCTTCAGAAC